GTGTGTGTGTTGTGTTGTTTGGGGGTGGTAGTGTGTGTATGTGTGTGTGTATGTTTTGTTATGTGTGGTATGTGTGTGTGTTGGTGTTTTATGTGTGTGTAGGGGTTGTGTATGTGTGTGTATGTGTGGTTGTTGTGTGTTGTGGGGTGTTGTGTGTGTTGGTTTTTTTGTTGTGTTTTGTTTGGTTGGTGTGTGTATGTGTTGGTGGTAGTGTGTGTGGGGTATGTGGTGTTTAGTGGGGTGACTGTGGTGTATGTGTGTGTTGTGTGGTTTGTGTGTTTGTGGGGTTTTTGTGTGTTTTGGGGTGGGGTATGTGTGTGTTGTGTGGTTGTGTGTGTTGTGTTTGTTTTGTGTGTGTATGGTGTGTTTTGTGTGGTTGTGTGTGTGTGTTTGTGGTTGTGTGTGTTTTATTTTTGGTGGTTGTGTGTGGTTGGTGGTGTTTGTGTGTGTGTCTGGTTTTTGTTTGTGTGTGTTGGGGTTTGTGGTGTTGTGGGGTTGTTGTGTGTGGGGGGTGTGGGGTTGTGTGTGTTTTTGTGTTGTGTTGTGTGTGTTGTGGTGTGTTTTTGTGTGGTTTTTGTGTGTGTTGTGTGGGTGGGTGTGGTTTTTTGTGAGTGTTTTGTTATTGTTTTTTATTTTTTTCTATTTCTTATGATGTATTTATATTTTTTTTTATTTTCAATATTTTTATATGATACATTATATATTCATATTATTATAATTTTATAGTTTATATATATTTTATTTTATACTTTATTTTTATTTATTTAAAATATTTATACATTTATTTATAAATATTTATTTATATACTTTATTTTTTATACTTATATATTGATATATATATTTCTTTATTTTTAATTTATATTATTTTTATATTTATTTCTATATAATACATATATATATTTATTCTTAATTTATAACAATTTTTTTACATTTATTTTTAAAAAAAACATAATATTTATTTTTTACATATTTTTTTATTTTTTTTAAAAATACTTAATATAATTTTAATAATTTTTATATATATACATTTTTATATATATACATTTATATATACATATATATCTTATAAAAAAATATAATATAAAAATACATATTTACATATATTTACATTATATATACATATATATATATATTTATTACATTATAATACATATATATTATAAAACATATATTTTTTATTAAATATTTTTATATATACTATATATACATATATATTATATATACATATATAAAAATATATATATATATAATACATATATATATACATATATATAATATTTATACATAAAATATAATATATACATATATTTATTTAATTATATATATATTATACTTTATACATATATATATACATATATATATTTAAAAACATATTTATATTATATATATTTTAAAATATATATAAAATATATATATAATATATATCATATATAAATATACATATATAATATATATATATATATTATACATATATATATAATATATATATATATATATATATAAATATATATTATATATATATAAAAATATATAATATTATATATATACATATTATATATATAATTTATATAATATAATACATATTTTAATATATACTATAAAATATATATTTATATATATTATATACATATAAAAACATAATTATATATATTTAAAAAAAAATAAAATTTATATTATAATTATAAAATATATATATACATAATATATATAATAATATTATAATATATTTATATATATATATTATTAATAATTTATTTAAAATATATATATAATATATTTTATAAAAAATAATATAAAATTTTTATATAAAAATATATTATATTTATATTAAAAATTTTTAATATATACAATATTATTTATATTATTAAATATATAATAAATTTATTATATAAAAATATATATTATAAAAAATATATATATATATTATAAATTAATTTAAATATTTAAAATATTTAAAAATTTATATATATTAAATTATAAAAATTTAATATATATATATATATATATATTATTATATTATATATATATATTTATATAATATATTATATATAAAAATATTTTAATATATAAATATTATATATATAATATATATATATATAATAATTATATATAAATATTATATTATATAAATTATTATATATTAATATATATATATATATATAAATATATATATATGATATATTATGTATATATATGTATATATATATGTATATATATATATATAATATTATATAGCTAGACAGGTATATTATACACTTATACACACAACACACACACACAACACACACATACATACACATTCACACATATGCACACATACACACTAAATACATGTTAAAGTCACAGACATTACTCTCAACGTTTGCCACAAGACAATTCATGGTTAACTTGATGGTGGGGTTTGAGGCTCGCCAGCAGAAATTCTTTAGACGTTGGCTTACCTAATGATCGTGTGTGAGGTACAGCCGCCTGGCAGAACACTGAATGTAGGCGGTCAGGCCAGGTCATGTGAAACAGATGTGGTCTGTAATGTTTCCGGAAATGTGCAGTGTTAGGGGAGTTACTGCTATGTCGTGTGTGGCGCCTTGCATGCTTCTCTCTCTCTCTCTCACTCTCACTCTCTCTCTCTCACACACACACACACACACACACACACACACACACACACACACACACCTACACAAAATTAGGAGGCAATTAAGGAGTATAAAATAACAGAACGAGACTATTTCCTTTGACACAGGTAGTGTACTCATTAAGCTACGGATATCACTTGCCACATTTAACTACCTCACAAGGTACTCTCGCCTAACTTTCAACACACATTACTGGGATCTAATTTTCACCACACATTCTTTCAACAAACACACTCTGACACATCCTGACGGTTTGTTTTCCACACACACACACACACACACACACACACACACACACACACACACACACACACACACACACCAACACACACAGTTCCACACAAAGAGATTGGTGCAAAAACTGGAGGACCAAGCAGGGATAACAGGGAAGGCACTACAATGGATCAGGGAATACTTGTCAGGAAGACAGCAGCGAGTCATGGTACGTGGCGAGGTGTCAGAGTGGGCACCTGTGACCAGCGGGGTCCCGCAGGGGTCAGTCCTAGGACCAGTGCTGTTTCTGGTATTTGTGAACGACATGACGGAAGGAATAGACTCTGGGGTGTCCCTGTTTGCAGATGACGTGAAGTTGATGAGAAGAATTCACTCGATCGAAGACCAGGCAGAACTACAAAGGGATCTGGACAGGCTGCAGACCTGGTCCAGCAATTGGCTCCTGGAGTTCAATCCCACCAAGTGCAAAGTCATGAAGATTGGGGAAGGGCAAAGAAGGCCGCAGACGGAGTACAGTCTAGGGGGTCAGAGACTACAAACCTCACTCAAGGAAAAAGATCTTGGGTGAGTATAACACCAGGCACATCTCCTGAAGCGCACATCAACCAAATAACTGCTGCAGCATATGGGCGCCTAGCAAACCTCAGAACAGCATTCCGACATCTTAATAAGGAATCATTCAGGACCCTGTACACCGTGTACGTTAGGCCCATGTTGGAGTATGCGGCACCAGTTTGGAACCCACACCTAGCCAAGCACGTGAAGAAACTAGAGAAAGTGCAAAGGTTTGCAACAAGACTAGTCCCAGAGCTAAGAGGTATGTCCTACGAGGAGAGGTTAAGGGAAATCAACCTGACGAGACTGGAGGACAGGAGAGATAGGGGGGACATGATAACGACATACAAAATACTGAGAGGAATTGACAAGGTGGACAAAGACAGGATGTTCCGGAGATTGGACACAGTAACAAGGGGACACAGTTGGAAGCTGAAGACACAGATGAATCACAGGGATGTTAGGAAGTATTTCTTCAGCCACAGAGTAGTCAGTAAGTGGAATAGTTTGGGAAGCGATGTAGTGGAGGCAGGATCCATACATAGCTTTAAGCAGAGGTATGATAAAGCTCACGGCTCAGGGAGAGTGACCTAGTAGCGATCAGTGAAGAGGCGGGGCCAGGAGCTCGGACTCGACCCCCGCAACCTCAACTAGGTGAGTACAACTAGGTGAGTACACACACACTGTGATGATTTAGCTTTAAGCTGTGGGGATCCACGCCGTTCCTGTCTAGCCTTAATCAGTCTGGTGCCCAAAACCCACTAACCCAACCAGCTTAGTATGTCACCTTTGGAGCCAAAGTGAACCAGACTACATTCTGGAGGTACAATGGTAGACAAGATATAGTTACTCACCATTATCATTATTTTTTTCAAAGATGCAAAGCCGACAGTTAGAGCTCGCCCTCTCCATGCAGCTACAGGAATATTTCGTCTTCTTCAAGAGCGCTTATCAAGGAGGGTGACTTGATGCTGATGAAGGGCTCTTGATTCAATATACTGGAGCTCCAATTTCCAAGGCGATGTATGATCCTTAAAGGTTTAAAATTTTTGCTATGAATATAATAATAATAATAATAATAATAATATTATTATTAATTATTATAATTATTAATTATTATAATTATTAATTATTATAATTATTATTTTTATTATTATTAAGTTCGTGGGGAAACGCTGAGCCGCAAGGTGTCGTACAGCACTTGGAAAATGGGAGGTAAATCTGGTCTGATCGTGGAAAAAGGAAAGAGGTTGGTTCATTTCCTTTCATCCCTTCAACGACATGAAGGCACTCTCCTGTCAAAGGCCAAGATATACGAGCAGCAGGATATACGCACAGGATATACGCAGAAAATGTGCAGAAAATATCCTGCGCACACAGTTGAATTTACTTTCAGAAAAGTTATTTTGGCCGAGCCTTTCATCGACGCTGAACCATAATCTAAGATCTTGTACCACTCCCCAGGATCTGAACCACGACCGTCGTCTAGCACCCAGGTAAATATTTACTTTAAGTTAGCATGAGGAACTGGTACAAGGAGCTGACTCTCATGTACCTGCTTACTGTCGGGCGAACATGGGCAAGTGGTGCAAGTCGAATAACACCCAGGTACCTTCCTACGTTTACGTTAACATGGGCAATGGTGCAAGAGACTAACACCCAGGTGCCTGTTTAGTGTTAATCTCTGTTTTGAGTTGACAAAAAAGTCTTTGATTAGCAAAGTAGCTTCATAATAAAGAATATCAGGTGCTCGATACTGTATTCCTTTTTCGTAATGATTCCTCTTTACTGCTTAGTGAGTAAGGGAGATAGATGCAAGGAGACTAACAACAGGATACCTATTTATTTCGAGATGAGCTCTGGAAACAGATGCAAGGAGACTACCGCTGAGGTACCTATTTATTGCTAGACAAATATGGGGAACAGGCGCAAGGAGGCTAACACCGAGGTACCTGCCTGTTTTTTTTTTGCTAGACGAACATGGGAAATAGGTATAGGGAGACTATCACTGAGGTACCTTTTTATTGCTAAACAAACATGGGAAACGGATGAGAGGAGACTAATACCCAGAATACCTATTTATTGCTGGTTTAACATGGGAAATAGGTACAAAAATCAAACACTCAATTGCACATTTACTGCTGAGTGAACGTGGAGAGCAAGCGCAAGGAGACATTCCCATACGTCTGGTCCTGCCAGTGAATCGAACTAGGAGACCTGAGATTGAGAACTCATAGAGCTAAAACTGAGTTAGAGGCTCTCTATGGCCTCCTTGATTCCTTATTAGCACTTTCGCTCTTGCTTTCACTCACACTGCTCTCAAAACGTGACTTAAATTCTAGAAAATAAGTATTATAAGAAAAGCTGACCATTAGAAAGGAGAACCTAGAGTGTGTATGTCGCGTCATTAAGATTTTGGACTGCGGGAGAGAGTACTTCTGCACGTTCCTTGTGTCTAGGTGTTCATATTTAGTAAGGGGTGAGAGAGAGAGAGAGAGAGAGAGAGAGAGAGAGAGAGAGAGAGAGAGGAGAGAGAGAGAGAGAGAGAAAGAGTGAATGCATTAGGAGGGTCAACAACTATACTCGCAGACTCTCTCAACTTTTCCCAAAGAACTCTAAGACCTTTAGTGTCTCTGCTTCAATCTACCATGTTATTACTTTCATTCTTATTCTTTCTCCATCTGTTTGATCTACTTTTCACCTTTAACTTTCTCTTAATCCTTTCCCTACCCCCACCCCTTGAATCTATCTTCAATTCCTTAGTTATTTTTGCATTTACGGGTTTATCTGAGAGGTCTTCTACACATTCACACATACCGTGTCCCACTGAGGTAGAGTGACCCGAAAATGAGAAAACACGTTCGCAGTCATTCATTTAGACTCTGCCTTGCCAGAAGTGTGCTGACATCAGAGTTCACATGGTCCTCTGAACTGTAGCATTCCCATCCATCCTTCAAAACTCAAGTCCGTCTAACTGGCTTCCTGAATTCCTTTATTATTGTCACCTAGTTTACACTCCAGCAGCACATCAAGCCATAAAAAAACGATTTGCCGCCATACCTACAATGCTAAAATTAGAGCTGTTGGATGTCCAAGCTCCTAGCACATTAAACTACCAATACTTCCGCCCTCCAATCTCTCCTGGGACGACCCCGTACTACAAGTAAATTAAATATACAATAGCCCTTAGGATAAAATTTTAGTTTTTACATGCAAGTAAATTTATTGGCATTTTAATACCGTCTCTGTTGGAAAAAAAATAAAATAACCGCTAGTCCTATTAAAGAAAAGGGCGTCGTGAGGGAAGGAATGAATGGGTAATTTTAGCACTGGTCCTTCAGCTCGCTGAGGACGTTCAGTATTAATATATTCAATGAAGACAGGGCAGAAATTTCATCTTGTTCCAGGCAGTGTAGTCACCGTTCTTTGACGTGTGACCTTATTGCTTTCAGGGACAGGAATCCCAGCATGCTGACACTAGTGCTCTTTGTGTGTGTGACAGAGATAGAGAGGAAGAGAAAGAAAGAGAGAGAGAGAGATTTGCGGATTTCTGAAAATTCAACATTGAAATTTACACAATTCATTACTGGAAGAAGTGATATTATCTGTTTTCTACTACATGAAATAAAAACAACGCTTCAAAGCTTCATATAATAACAGCCATATGATAGATAACATTAGAGTCGACATTTAAAAGAGCTGAGGTAGGTGACAGCTCTTAGCTTGTAAATACAAGATGCAAATCTTAATTTACACAGCCAACACCAGTGTGTAAAAAAAAGGGAGCATTGGACAGAAGGAAATATACGTGACTTCGAAGGTATTTACGCTATGGGAAAGGACAGATAAAGACAGGAAGAGAGAAAATGAAGGATAAACAAGGGAATTTACATTAGATCAACGGAATTCCCGAGAGGTATGGTATCAAGACAAGTCAGCAAAGTATTCTAATGACTGAGTTAAACCGCTTACAAGTTGGACTATGCTCAGCAAACTTCTGTTTTGTGACACTGAGAAGGGACTGGCTAGTAGGATATGCCCATATTCGACATCCTGATGATGGTTCAGGAAGGACCAAAACGTCGTCTAAAATATTTTCCGACAATATAGCAAGGAAATATTCCGTTTTGGCTCACCATGGATCGAAACGTCGTCTCAGGTCGTAAAATCGTTTCCAGATCGTTCACTGAAGAGATAACTGAAGAAATACCTCGTTGAACAAAAGAGTTTCGTCACACACACACACACACATAAGAACATAAGAAAGGAGGAACACTGCAGGAGGCCTGCTGGCCCATACTAGGCAGGTCCTTTACAATTCATCCCACTAACAAAACATTTGCCCAACCCAATTTTCAATGCCACCCAAGAAATAAGCTCTGATGTTAAAGTCCCACTCAAATCCAACCCCTCCCACTCATGTACTTATCCAACCTAGATTTGAAACTACCCAAAGTCCCAGCCTCAATAACCCAACTAGGCAGACTGTTCCACTCATCAACTACCCTATTTCCAAACCAATACTTTCCTATGTCCTTTCTAAATCTAAACTTGTCTAATTTAAATCCATTACTGCGGGTTCTCTCTTGGAGGACATCCTCAAGACCTTATTAATATCCCCTTTATTAATACCTATCTTCCACTTATACACTTCGATCAGGTTTTCTCCTTCATTCTTCGTCTAACAAGTGAATGTAACTTAAGAGTCTTCAATCTTTCTTCATAAGGAAGATTTCTAATGCTATGTATTAATTTAGTCATCCTACGCTGAATGTTTTCTAACGAATTTATGTCCTTTTTGTGATACGGAGACCAGAACTGAGCTGCATAATCTAGGTGAGGCCTTACTAATGATGTATAAAGCTGCAGTATGACCTCTGGACTTCTGTTGCTTACACTTCTTGATATAAATCCCAGTAATCTATTTGCCTTATTACGTACGCTTAGGCATTGCTGTCTTGGTTTAAGGTTGCTGCTCACCATAACCCCCAAGTCCTTTTCGCAATCTGTATGGCTAAGTTCTACATCATTTAACTTATAAGTACTAGGGTTATGGGCACTCCCAAGCTTCAGAACCTTGCATTTATCTACATTGAACTGCATCTGCCACTTTTCTGACCAAGAATAGAGTTTGTTTAAATCCTCCTGAAGTTCCATAACATCTACGTTTGAATCAATTATCCTACCTATCTTTGTGTCATCGGCGAATTTGCTCATATCACTAGTAATTCCCTCATCAAGATCATTGATATATATTATAAACAACAACGGGCCCAAGACTGATCCCTGTGGAACGCCACTTGTTACAGATCCCCACTCGGATTTAACCCCATTTATGGACACTCTCTGCTTCCTGTCAGTGAGTCATGACTCGATCCACGAAAGCACTTTTCCCCCAATGCCATGAGCTGCCACTTTCTTTAACAGTCTGTGGTGCGGAACTCTATCAAAAGCCTTACTAAAATCTAAGTAAATAATATCAAATTCTTTATTGTGGTCAACAGCCTCAAAAGCTTTACTGAAGAAAGATAATAAATTAGTTAGACAAGACCGGCCTCTTGTGAATCCATGCTGAGTATCATTAATCAAGCTATGCTTATCGAGATGGCTTCTTATAAACTCAGCAATAATTGACTCTAGTAATTTGCCTACAATTGAGGTCAGGCTTATTGGGCGGTAATTTGACGGTAACGACTTATCCCCTGTTTTAAAAATAGGAGTTACATTAGCCATCTTCCACATATCAGACACTACACCTGTTTGAAGAGATAAATTAAAAATATTAGTTAATGGTTCACAGAGTTCCATTTTGCATTCCTTAAGAACCCTTGAAAAAACCTCATCAGGCCCCGGCGACTTATTTTGCTTCAGTCTGTCTATCTGCTTCACAACACACACACACACGCACACGCACACGCACACACACGCACACACACACACACACACACAGACACACACAACTGCTGCAGCATATGGGCGCCTGGCGAACCTCAGAACAGCATTCCGACATCTTAATAAGGAATCGTTCAGGACCCTGTACATCGTGTACGTTAGGCCCATATTAGAGTATGCGGCACCAGTTTGGAACCCACACCTAGCCAAGCACGTAAAGAAACTAGAGAAAGTGCAAAGGTTTACAACAAGACTAGTCCCAGAGGAGAGGTTAAGGGAAATCAACTTGACGACACTGGAGGACAGGAGAGATAGGGGGGACATGATAACGACTTACAAAATACTGAGAGGAATTGACAAGGTGGACAAAGACAGGATGTTCCAGAGATTGGACACAGCAACAAGGGGACAAAGTTGGAAGTTGAAGACACAGATGAATCACAGGGATGTTAGGAAGTATTTCCTCAGCCACAGAGTAGTCAGGAAGTGGAATAGTTTGGGAAGCGATGTAGTGGAGGCAGGATCCATACATGGCTTTAAGCAGAGGTACGATAAAGCTCATGGTTCAGGAGAGTGACCTAGTGGCGACCAGTGAAGAGGCGGGGCCAGGAGCTTGGACTCGACCCCTGAAACCTCAACTAGGTGAGTACAACTTGGTGAGTACACACACACACAACACACACACAC